CTTACTGTTCATTCCTGTGGTTGCAAGGTAAGGTTCCATCCATATGTGATACTGAATACAAGGTCTGACCCTGCATCCCTCAGAGTCAATACCAACACTTTCACCAGTTCTGGAGGCACATGATTCAATCTGTAATGTTCCCTCTGAAAGCACAGTACCTAGTTCTGCAAGCAAACCGTTTGGAGCAGTCACCAGCCTTGCAGGGAGAGCTGTTGCACTGCTTTAAGGGATTACATGTAAACAGATTACTGGATTGCAGGAATAGGGAGAAAAACATCCACGGGCATTCCTAAATATTAGCTACCCATGTGGTAGCAGCAGCATCTTCCCTGGCTGATGCAGCATCTTCCCCAGCTGCTGAGACTTCCTAGGACATGGACAACACAACCACTCTGCCCCAGGTGCCATGTCCTCCTGGTGTTCTCTTTCAGAAGAAGCCCCTATTTGGTGTCTCTCTCCTCTTTGAATTCTTGGATAGGAAGCACCACTGCCTCAGTTTGAACCTTCAGACTTCTGTTCCAAATCCTAGTATTTCACCTACTTGAGATTTTGGTCAGGCAGATCTTCCTGATGGGAGCAGTGCCATGGGATATGTATCTTAACACTAGCAGAGGTTTAATGTCAAGTGTTTCCTCAGTAAAATGGAAACTCAGGAGTTTTATAATCTGTACTTTGTTCTGTTCAGTTGCTACCTTTAGGACAGCTTAAATCATCTCTCCGTGCCTTAGTTTCCCCTTTCAGCCTATCTCCGTTGCTGCTACAAAAAGGAAGCTCTGGGAAGTGTGGGTGCCTTTGAGTTGTCAGTGTGGGATGTGAAATGCAGAGACAGCGGTATAAGAGAGCTAATAACCTACATGTGATGGAGGATCTTTCATTTCATTTCCCATGCTCTGAGGAAAACCCTTTTTAGAGGCTGGGAAAGGGAGAAGGTTAAATGCACCTAATTACATTTGAGTCTAGTGGATGTACTTCAGAATGGGCCTCTCGTGTTAGCCTGGAAAAGTTGAAAAGGAGCCCATGGTTATTGTAAAATTCATTATCATTCTTCTGAAGTCACACTCATAAAAGAACAGCAAAGCAAACCCAGGCAATGAAATTACTCACAGATGAGGCAAACTACACCACATGTCAGCTGCACCTTGAGCCAGTGGGGTGCTGTCTGTGCTTTTCTCTCTGTGGTGTATTTGCTGATGCATTGCAGGACACCTTGTGCTTCCCACAGCAGAGACCCGGGAACCTTAGATGGGTGACTTGACACAACAGAAGCAACACTGTGCTGCCGTTTTCCTTTCAGCATCATTCCCTATGTCGCAGGTATATGCTCAGGCCCTCGCAGAGCTTGCACTTGCAGGGTAGATGTTTGAGGTCATCTTGTTCATAATTGATCACCTGATTTCGCATCTGCTGAGTACAGGAGGTGCAGGAGGTGATGGGAAAGCAATGTATGGCTGTTCTCAGCAGGGCACTGGCTCAGCTCTCCTCAAATGCATCCTCCCCCTGCGTTCAGTGCGGCACATACTCACGCATATTCCCTGACAGCATCGAGCCCGTGTCTGCTGAGTGCTTCAGTATGCTCCAGGTCATTTACACTCCCTAGAAAACAGGCAGTAAACCTTGCTGAGAGCCCCCTGAGCAGTTCTCTTGGCAGCAAGCAGACGTGGCTCCTGTAGGCACAGGGCAGATGGAAATTTCCCTTGGGACATCCCTGGAAAAGGGGAGATTCGAAACCAGGCCTGGTAGACAGTGTTGTGTGATTTTGTGTGTGTGATGGCTGTAGGCTGGAGGTAACACTGTCCTCAAGCATAATACTCTTAACAAGAACAAATTACATGAACCGACAGGGAGAAAAAGTTAATTACAGTGATTTTTGCCTCTGAGAGAGGAAACAATTTCTGCCCTAAATCCCCAGAAATAGGGTGATTTGTCATTTTAAAAGCTCAGTTTCTGTTCACTACTTACGTGACACCATCCCAACCATTACGCAGGCTGTTAAATGAAATGTGACATCTCAGGAGTTGTGTCATTAAAAGGTACAGAAAAACACTGCAATCCAGCCTGTACTACAGCAGTGTAGCTGCTTTAGCAATGGCAGGGATATTTTCCTATTTTCTTCTTTATCTTCTTTGCCCATATGGATAATAAACATAAAGAAAGCAAACTGTTGCCTTCTAATGCAAATGTATGGCTTCTAGAAACAACCAGAACAGTTCAGCACTACTATGGAGTACTAATAAAATACTTGTTAGTGGGGTTTGCTATTTCTGTACGTTATGTTGGAGTTGGGGTTTCCCTGCTCACAAAGAACTGATTGCACCACAGCTCAGCAGCTAAATTTGTATTTTATAGTCTGGATCAGCAAATCTTTTCAAGTTCATTGATTAAAGCTCAGCAAAAGTTATTCTGGGATGGCAAGGGAGGCAGTTCCGACCTCTCCCTGACTTTGCAGAGAAAGCGTAAAGAAACCCAAAGCTTTTGCATGACACAGCACTTGCTTTTGTAACTAACAGCACATGAGGATGGTGTTTGGCTGCCCAGGTAGGGCTGGGATAGTGGGCAGGGAGGATGCTGGGTCTGTTTGAGTACTGGGAGGCTATTTCTGGAGCACAGGCAGATGTGCCTCGGTGTGGTCTGCGGAAACAAGAGACTCCAGGCACGGCACAGCAGGGGGTAACACGTCAGCCAGTGCTGAAAGGAGGCTCTCTGGCACTTGCAGCATATACTGCCCAGGTATCTCCTTCTCTTACCCTTCTTGTCCTCCCTCTCCTCTCCAGGGCAATTGCTTATGACTTGGCACACATCTCAACAGTGAGCCAGCAGCCTCATGCCAGGCTGCAGCTTCCAAGGGGGTTGGCAGATACTTGATGCCCATTTCCTCCGTTGCCCTTGCTACACCTCTGGGCAAAGGGAGCAGCAGCTCCCATATTCTTCCTGAACAGTCATTGAGACCAACCTTCCCATAACTAAATACCAGAAGGAGAGACGGGGAGGGAAGTCTGCGTAGGCACCTAAGGAGATCTTCCTTTTGCTATTCCTCTTTTTGAAACCCCTGGTTAAAGAAATGGGGTAAAATAAAGTGACTTACTAAATCAGGCTCTGTTAGACTTCGTGGACAGTGTGGTTGCTTTGGTAAAAGAGAAATTGGAAAGCTCTTGCAGAAAGGCAGAACCTGTCTGAAATTCACAGGCGTCAAAAGCTGGTGCCGGTGGCCACAGAAGTGAGATTCAATGTCCCAAATTCAGCAGAAGTTGAGAATAATGATTCAAATAGGAGTTAGTGAAAATACTGATGCTAATTTTGTCTATAAGCTGGAGGAGTGGACAGAGACAAGAGGATGGAAGATTTTATGAAGACTGGAGATTCCTTTGTAGAGTGAAGCTGCTCTGTTCATCTCGTGCTGTGAGCAGAGACTCTAGACAACACCTATGGCAGAAGCTGTCTTTGTGATGTTCTCAGCCCAACTAGGATTTATAGTTGCTCTTGAAGTGTTTGTCTTCCGGCTTCAACTGAGAGAAAATGCTTGCTGTGATTTAGGAGATCAACACAATTCATTCAGTTCACATAGGGGAGAAAGAAAAATCATGAAACATCACCTGCGATTAAATCAATGTGGTGACATTATGTTCTGCTCACAGACATTCCGCAATCAGGAGAAAAAGCTAACATCTTCAAATAGGTTCTTTGCTGTACAAGCAGCTTGGGGTTTTTCTTTCACCATGAGGTAAATCAGCGTGCTAAAAGTGAAACTACACATCAAAGCCTGAAAGTATCATTAAAGAAAACCCACACATGACACACATACACACGCACGCAGCCCCATCAGAAATACCCCCAAAAGTAATGGTAAATGTACTCTTACTGGTGTCCTTGTAGAACCCCCACCTTTAAATGATGGTAGGTGGTGGTACAGGCAGGTTTATATCATGAGCATTCTCTGTGTATGGTTGTTTGTCCTCATCTTCCTCAAAGAATGGTTATTTATCCTCATCTGTTAGCTCCTAAGAGTCCCCTTCCTTCCAGGTTGGTCCAGGAGCACAATTCACAGCTCCCTGGGATCAACCAGGAACTTGCTTTTCACTGTATTAGTGCCAGGAATGTTGTTTTCTGGAGAGGAGAGAAAGAAAAAGAAAAGGTGGAAGCATTTAATAAGATCAGTTCCCCTTGAAGGTATTTTAAGTTCTTCTTCCTGTAGTTAATGAGCAAGTAGACAGGAATCTAGAGATGAAGCTAGTTACCCAGTGCTGTTGAAAGCTGCATAAAAATGACTGTTTAACCCTGAAAGTAATTATATTGCATATAATTAACAGAAAATTCTCAACAATTTGTAGTAATGTTCACAGAAAAATTATTTTCCTTATTTGCTTATTTGACTTTAGTCAGATTTTACATGGCTGAAGCAGAATCGCATCTAATGAAATAACAACTTCAGGTCAGCGATTTCAACCTCACAGGTTCCCTCATCATCACCGGTGTATGGAACATGTGCACAGCCTTTGTGTAACACAGTATTTGTGATGAATGGGAACAAGAAAATTCACTGTGTGGATGCTTTTGAGTTGGAAAGAAATGCCAAGCTTCCATCCAAAATTGCCATTTATATCCGTTGTTAAATATAGGGCCTCAAATCATGATACAGTTTAAGTCAATACGTAGAATTGGTAACTGGCTTCCAGTGTTTAACCTATGGGAGAAGATCTTGCCTTCTCAGGTGTTTGCTATGCTGTTTTTAAACTTGGTAAGTGCATATTTTGTATCACTAATTTTGGAGGTTTAGAGCTATTTCTTATCATTTCCATCATGTCAGCTATGGAACTTGCTTGTGACAGAGGTCATCTGAAGGACGTTTGTATCTTATACCAGCTTGATCATGGATTTGGGTTACTCAACCGCCTCAACATGGAGCTTCTGGGTAAAATGCCCCTTTTACTGTGTGAGATGCTTCTATTGCAGTGGATTATCTGGCAAGACTCTATTTACTCAGCCCCAGTTCTTTCCATTAACAGTCCTGCCATCTACAAACCAGCTCACAGGAGATTGATTTGTGAGATGAGCTGTCGTGCACCGATAGACCTCTCTGATAAACCCTGATACTTGCTGTGTGATTCTGGAGAAGAAATGCAATGATCCATCAGAACCTGTCCCTCCCTGACCACTGAAGAACTGTTTCCCAGAAGATGGAGCTCTTTCCCCAAGACTGGTGATGATGGAGACCTTGTAAGTTCAGTATCATATAAAATGAGGGGATTTATATGGGTGTCAGTGAATTATTATTCTTAGCTGAAAGAAGAGAAAATGACATGTTGACCATAGATCTTTTATTATAAAAGAGAAGTTTAGGGTTTTTTCCTCAGTAAATGATACTTCTTAACTACAGCAATTTTACATGAAAGGAAATTCAGTTATTGAAGACTCCAGATGCCAAATCTTCTTTTTATTCTTTTGAAGCAACACATGACGCCTTGGCAGACTCAGGTATATAAAGCTTTGCAATTTTCTTTTGAGCTTATCACGTGATTAGAAAGATGGTGACTTGCCTTATTGCCAGCAGGCACTCCCTGCTTGCTGGAAGCAAATCCAGTAACTCCTCTGTGGGGTAGAGGGAGGGGTTTATTTCAGGCATGCTTTGGTTTCCACCTGGGAATGGTAAGAGTGAGAGGGATTTTAAATTTCCACATTGAAAACAAAGTGAAAAAGTAAGGAGCATAAAAGACTGAAAGAAAAACATGGATTTTGATTCTTGCTGAAGTAAGGATGGTTTGTGGGAACTCACAACTCATGCAGAATGTGTTCCTTGGGTTTGGACTGGAGCAGCAGAGCCCTTCTGGTATCAGGTGCTGAAGGAAATAATAAGTACATGAACCTTTAAATAACTTATAATATGCTTGTGTGTCTTTAATGTCTGATCTTAATACCTTAAAAGCAATGTTAAGCCTCTCCCTCCTTCCCTTCCCTGCTCACCCCTAAATCTGGGGTAAGGCTCTTGACTCTTTTAAGCCTGGGCACATTGAGGAGCCCCTGTGGGAACTGGACAAAGCTGTTGTCAATAATGACACCAAGTGTCAGTGTATCAGCTTCCACTGTGGATGTTATGAAGGTTTTACTTCTGGTTGTGTTGCTGTAGATCAGTTACATTTTTTACTGCTCGCATGTGTGTTTCCTAAAGTGCAAAAAAGATTATGAAGAGAAGTTTTATGAGCACCGACGTGGTTGTCATGACTACCTGAGCCACTTTGCTGGTACTGTACAAGTCTTTCACTTTATCTTTCTAGCTTTTACACAAACAACATTTCTTTTTGCATGAGAGTTTGAAGAAACAGGGCTCAATAAATGTGAATAAGCCTAAATACGTATGTGTGTAGTATCCAGGTGAAGCTAATGCTTCCACCCAGTCAGCATCTGTGCATTACATGCCTTGGACTGTGTGAGAGGTAGGTCAAAGCTGTTCTCTGCTTATGGCTGAACTGACAAGATCCGAAGTCCTGGCAACCTGAACTACAAATGATCAAGTGAAGTAGGCTGCTCTGGCTTACTGTTAGGTACAGGTATCCTTCATGAGGCTGTCAGCATTATAGACTTTGAATTTACTATCTCTTCAGCATCTGATTTTCTCACTGGATACAAAGCAGGTGGATCTGCCACTCTCTTTGCCCAGCTAGAATAAAAGAAGATGAAGGGACCAAGAGATGCTGTAAGTTTCCATGCACATCATTAAAATCAAAGATAAATTGTGAGCCGGTATCAAGACATGAGTATTCCGTATTCTCTGAGGTCCAGACCTAAATAATCATTTCCATGTCTTTGACTTCAGTGTCAGGGTGACCCATAAGGACTATTAACTTGTCCGGAAGAGAGTTTTAGCTGCATTTGTTGTTGGAGAGGTTGCAAGTTTCTGAGGAGTAAAGAACCCTTCATCCTGACAAAACTAATACTCCGGTTATGGCAGGCTTCTGAGGTTGGGACAGTTGAGACACAAGAATGCTCTTTGTGAGGCACTTAGAAAAGCCTCCAGAGTAATTTTTTGTTTGCATTTTTTCCCCCTTTAAGGGAAGGGTTTGCTAAATGACAACTCATGGATCATGTGCAAGGCAACAACCAGAAGTAGGAGTACTGTGAGTCTAAATGTTAGCATATTCCCGATGTTTTATCTCAAGCAAGATGATGAACATAAGCCCTATAGGTAATCAAAATGAGAATAAGGAAACGTACAAAGTGTGTTTGAGGAAGAGATGTAACGTGCTCTGGGCACAGGGTCTCCAAAACAGTGAGAATCAGTTTAAGGTAAAGTTTAGTTGCTAGGAGATTGTAACCACGAAATAGAAATGCTGATTAGTTGACATACTTGAGAGATGATGAAAAAAGACATCTCGGGGGCTGTGCTAGGTCAAAACCATAAAACACCAGTTCTTTTGGAAAAGCTGAATACAACAATGTGCATCCAAACAGCAGTAAATCCAACCTAAGTGTACACGGTCACAGGCTCTGATTTAAAGTTTGATTGCAAGAAGAGAGCTGGAGTTAATAATTCAGATGACCCAGAAGTTAAATCATTTGAGGAGGAGGAGGAAGGTAGGAGAGGTTAAACCTATGCAGCTCTGTCATTTTCTTAGCAGTGAATCAGCTCAAACCTGTTGGAGAGTTGGGAGCTCAGGAGTTTGTAACCTGTGTGTACACAGCTTTGAGCTTTCCTTAAGGACCCAGGAACTTCTGAAGAGGATTGTTACAGTATAAAAAGCATTTGAAGTTCCAGATGGGCATCAAAGAGAAAAGCTTAGAAGGAAATCTGAAAGATTTCAGAAAAATCCAAAAGAAATCCAACTAACACGAGTAAGGACGGCATTTCAGAAGAGACAGGTCTGGTCATCAGGTGCTTTTAATGGCAACAGGAAAATAATAACTTGCCGAAAGGAAGCTGTCTGTTAAAAACCTCCTCTTTCCTGTTCCTCTGGAAGGGCTATCATAGTCCAAGTAAATACAATGCAGTTGCCCACCATGATGAGGTAGGTTTGCATTCCTCGTTGTCATTTTGCTCCTGACAAAGCTGGCAAATACCCGAGTAAGAGAAATGCCTCTGTAGCTGGTGGGGATAGGAAGGATGTTTCAGATAAAACCATTCACAAAGAAAGTTTCAAGTAAAATCATTTTTATGTGTTCATCTGCTTTTAAATCAGGTGAGAATGTGGAGTTGTGAAGGCTTTTGCAACTCTTACAGAACTGTAGACTGCTCAATAATGATGTTATAATAAAAGCAATAATTTAGGCGAAGCATACTTAAAAATTGCAAGATGTAATTTAATTAAATTGCCAGTGGGGAAATGGCAAAGAAAAGAGTTGTGCTTGGTTAACCTAATTTTTGTTTCTTAGCACAAGGTTTATAATGACTTTAAGTAAGCAAGTTGTTTATTTTCATTAGCAGTAATTGACGAGTAAACATAATAGTAACAGATTTCCTTTTGGAAAACCCTACTGGTAAATCTCTGTAGTTAAGAGCTCTGTCCAAAAATGCCACGTGGAGTGATCTCAAACGTATCATCCCTGAGAATAGCCACCTTTAACATATGCATCTGTTACTAATTACAAACTCCAGGTCTATGTGGGTTGGTTCTTAACACTGTAGGCTGCAGAGATCCAAGTGTTATCTCTGAAGTGCACTCCCCAAGCTGTGCTTAGACAGCTTTATAACACCCCAGCAACTGGAGAAGGATTATGGATATAACTTGTGCTCTAAATTTGAAAGAAAAAGAGTATAGATCATCCTCCTTGCAAATATCTTTTACCTGTGCCTTGTGAGTCAGCAAGTGCCTGGAGGAAATATTTCTGCTCATAATACTCTGAATACAGGTACTAAGTGCTTAGATACACAAGTATGTCCAGAGCAGAGATATACAGTCAGCAGCTCTAGTGTCCTTTTTTTAATAAAGGAAATAATAATCCACTCTTTCTTTACATACAGTTTGAGAGTTGGCAGCCAGCATAGTTCAGCAGCAAAGGCAGATGCTTAGCATACCCCAAATTACTTGTTAGAGCTTAAATCCTCATCCGTGCTTAGACACAGTGTGAGCAGCAGCCAGCCTCCTGTCACCTGCCTCCACAGATGTATTGTACAGACACACTCAGAAGTAACACCCCTTAAATCCTGATTCAGAGCAGGCAGTGGTATCAGGGAAATCAATTTTTATTGGTATTTCTCATCTAATCTGTTTTGGGGGGGGATATTTATTGTGACTTTGGTTGCTCTGCAAGCAATGTAAAATTGGATCTGGATCTCTGTTTTCTACATCTGGGATAGCTGGAAATTGGAGTGTGTTAATCAAGAATCCAGTGGCTGCATGCAGGGCTTTTCCTCCTCAGACTGCTGGTGGCTTTGTGTACAATGTTGTCATTCCATCACACCTGGCATGCACAGAAGGACTGTCAGGCAAGCAGTGTCTTGGCTTTTGGGTCTCTCTGACTCTCCTAATTTTGCTCCCCAGTGTTTGTCAGTAATGTGTGTGATGGTTGCTCTTGCTCTTCTGTTGATTCCACGTTAAAAATGAGCTGTCAGGCTTGCCTTCCTTGAAGAATATGTGTTAGAGGCTGGATACTACTAGGAACAGTTTGTCACTGGGTATTTGCTCATGTAAAAGACTGCTGCTAACTACCTCTTATTCAACTCCTGTAAATGCTAAATGAAGGTGCCATTTCACCTCCCTTGGAAGATCATACCATGTTCTCAGAGACCCAGAGGAATTTCTGAGATTGCTTTTAGAACTGGGAAAATCCATCCTGTTACAGACTCAGTAAAGAATGGCCAATTCTCTGCAGATCACAGAATCCCAGACTGGTTTGGGTAGGAAAGGACCTTAAAGCTCATCCATTTCCTACCCCTGCCACGGGCAGGGACACCTTTCACTAGAGCAGCTTGCTCCAAGCCCCTGTGTCCAACCTGGCCTTGAACACTGCCAGGGATGGGGCAGCCACAGCTTCTCTGGGCACCCTGTGCCAGCGCCTCAGCACCTTCACAGGGAAGAACTTCTTCATTCTATCTAGCATAAATCTCCAGTGTTTAGGTTTGAACCCATTCCCCATTGTCCTGTTGCTACAGTCCCTGATGAAGAGTCCTCATGAGCAAACTGATTGGGTCTGGAACTGCTCAAAGCTGACGAATACTTGTCAAAGTCACCAAGCAGTGTTAGAAAACCATTTATAAGAATTAGAGGAATTTCTCACAAGCAGGTATAACAGTGCGTTTTAGAGAACATGCTCCGAGGAGCTCACTCCTAAGTAGGAGCTTAGCAGAAAGGCAGATCAAGGGGGCATGTAGAAATCACCCAGGAATCACAATGGACCGTTTCCTTCACTCTCAGTTCAGTTGGGTTTTGCCATGAGGAGACTACAGGAAAATAAATGTAATTATCACCTAAGAAAGGACGATGCCAATTGATCAGTCCATTGTGTTGCAGCAGTGTCTTCATTGCCCTGATACATGACAAAAATCATTTGGAATGAGAGTTTTCAGGGCATTACTGGTCATTTGCACGGTCACCAGATTAGTGATGTTTATGGAGCAGCCTCAACCTGCAACAAATAAGTGCATTTTCTCAGGATAAAGAAGCAAGCTGAGGATTACAAGGCCCCATGCTCTTTATCCCCAGACAGTTCTCATTTCAGCCTCTTCTTAAAGGCTCTGAATAAATAGCATATTGATTTCCCTTAAAACTGAAGAATGTGTTCACTGTTAAAGTATTTATACTGCTTTAAAAGGAGTAGGGATTATTTGGCTTCTAAGCCTTCCTGTATCAATATGAGAAGTTATCTATTCTGCCTAATTTGTCCATGATCTGAAAGATTTCAGGCAGGAATTACATAGGTATTTATACTTATTTAACCTGTTCCTACAGGGATTACTTCTCAGCTGCTAGCTGGAAGTGAAAACATGTTTGGAATCTACCTGTACATATCACTGCGTGCCAATACATATATGTAGATGTGGAGGAAGACTCTTTAACTTGGGGTCAGTTTAGGGGTTTGCTTAAGCTCTTTATCCTGCCTTACCTGCACTTTGAGCTGATTCTCTGCTAGTGATTCCTCTGAGATGAAAAGATACATCTGTGTGTGAAGGCATATCGTATATAGTCTCTCTATAGATTGCATTGTTACGTAGTATGTGGGTTTTTAATACTGAACTCCCAACCTGTCCATATCATCTCGGTGCATTTAGACAGCTGGCACATAAACTCTCTTTTAAGTGCTCTGTTTCAGCAGAGTCATGAATGATATTCTCAGGAGCTGACCTGCAGCAAAATCTATCCTGGGAGAACAAACCAGATACGGATCATCTGCTGGGGATTAATGGATCAAAAATACCTGCTTTACTGGAAGAGGTAATTGAAGCACTTGCCACTTAGACTTTGCTTGACTTCTGAGTCATCTTTTTCTTAAAGCCATATTGCTGGTGGTCTGCCCCAAATCATGATTTGCCTAATCCAGAACAAAGTAGGATGTGGGGGAAAATGTAAGCATTGGAAGGCATCATTAAAAGGATTTATCCTGTGAGATACTTGGTCCTAAAATAGAGATGAGCATAATACATGCTAATACCTTGCTAGTGCTAGCATTTTGATTTTCAAAAGTTCTCTATACTTGAAACATTGCTGCCACATCTAGAGCTCAGTCCTTGCTTGTAAGCTGCTTAAATATTAAATGGTTATTGATTCCTTATCCTGGGGAACTCGAAAGTTTAAGCCAACTGAAAGCTCTGTATAAAAATCTCAGTCCTTGACAAAACTGAAAGTGATGGGGTTTGAAGAACAGCTTGAGGGGGAAGAGGAGGGGGAATGGACATTACTGCAACCAAGATATTGCTCAATTCTGAGCAAAACAGCCTGAAAATCACAGCCTGAAATGGTCTGTAGCTAGTTTGGGACCAAATGCTGGTCTCGCTTGCTGCAGCAGTAGAGGGGTTTGCTTTTAGAGGGTATTCATGCTAACAGAACTTGCTCTACAGAGCAGTAAACTTCTGGAGTTAGAAATAAGGTAGTTCCTAACTCAGTGAGTGGAGATACAGGATGTCACCTTCTCCTGTGGTTCAGGTTGTCTTTGTCAGTGACTCTTGTACCAGCTCCAGAGGGTTTCTAGGAAAGGTTATTCAGTATTAGATGCTTAGCTCTTGGAGATCTTCAGAGGAGGAACCAGGGACGTATGTTTTTCTGCAAATACAGAGTATTATTCCATCCAGCCAAAGCCCTTTGATCTGAAATGTGTATAACCTGCCAAGTGTATCTCAAAAGTCAACTGATATGTCACTTGTCTGTATGTGCAGTGGGTCAGAGTCCAACTCAGAGACCGTCTTTAGAGGGCTTTTCTTCTGTATTTTTCTCTCTGTAACATGTTTATTCCATAGCAGTAGATCAAAGTCCAACGTTTTAAGTTGTATCTGTGCAATAAACTCTGTTTTCTACATGACTTCAGTAGGGTCTGGGCTTGATCACTCTCTCCAGGCTGTATTTTTCCTTTATTTTAAAATAGTCAAACATTTTAAAAGGAGCAAGCTTCTGATTAAAAATTGATTTGCTTTAGTAAACAGCTCTTGCTGGGTGGTTACCTTGAGCCAATTTGTAGTAATATTCTTACACATGCAGGATGTGTTCTCGCTGTTTGGAGGTTGCTGTTACATCTCTTTAGCCACTTATATAATAAAGCTTGGTGAATGAGTATTGATTCCCTTACTTGGAATAACAGGAATGCAACCTAGTCGCCTCTCTGAATCACCAAGACATTCCTTGTGAGGATGGAATGTAAAATTGTATGGAGAAAACAGGAATTCTGTGGTGTCAAGGGTACCATAAGTGGCAGGCACCTGGCCAGGCCTTGCTCCCACCTGGTGAATGAGAAATAGGTTTAACATCATGGTTGCTAGATACAACAAGTAGTTGTTTCCCTCCATGTGCCTTTAACATCATGGTTGCTAGATACAACAAGTAGTTGTTTCCCTCCATGTGCCTAGTTTCTTGATTTATATTTCACTGTTACATTGACAACAAGGATTAATATTTCACAAGTGTCACTCAGAAGTTCAACTCTCATAGCATTCCCCTCCTTGTTTTCTTAAGCATGTCTACTCACACTCAGTCTTTTGGAAAGGGCTTATTTTTCTCTACGCAGCTCAGCAGGTCAGGAAATTAACCACTTGCACTCCTGTTATTCCAAGTAAGGGAATCAATACTCATTCACCAAGCTTTATTTTGTAAGTGGCTAAAGAGATGTAACATCAGCCTCCAAAGAGGGAGAACACATCCTGACTGTGTAAGAACACTAATACAAGCTGGCTCAAGGTAACCAAATGCGGTTATGTTTGAAGAGGAAGAAAGACAGAAGATTGTTCAGATTTTCTGAGCAATTCTTTTCTTTTCCTACCTGCATATCAGTTCCCTGCCTCACTCTTAAATAGGCTAAACCCTCCTTTCTATCTGCAGATAAACCCCAAAGCAGAACAAGATGTTATGCTGGACAGTTTACAGAAGCTACACTGTGCATAGTGAAAAGTCCTTTTGCAAAAGAGCACACTAGAGTGGGATCTTTCATTAAGGAATGCTGGCCAGCTTTTCCTGTCAACCTACTTTGTCCTCAGGATTTGGCTAGCTACAGGAAACTATTCTTGGGTCTACTTCTCCTGGAAAAGGTCACACAAATACTCAAAACATGTTATGCACAGCTTTTGCAGTGCATTTAAGACCTGATCAAACTGTACCAAGGAAATGAACTACTTTAAAAATAGATTAAATTAGTTTTGGAAATGTTTTATCTTAAAGTACTGCTGCTTACGCACACAGCTGAATTTTGAGAGAGATTTCTTCTTCTTTGCTAAGTGCACTTCTTTCATTCTTCATTACCTCACTAATGCAGAAGTGCAGCTTCAGTGTAGGTCCAATCTAATATCACCTGCAGTCTCCAGCATTTCTAAACCAGGTGTCCCTCCAACCAGCCTGTGAAGCTGTGTGACCCACCAGCTCTGGTTTCCACAAAATTAGGCTTCATGTGGTGCAGTAAAATAATGAGGGAACCACAGAGCTCACAGCTCAGTGTCTTTAACAGATTTACTAAATCTTGTCCAAAAACCCCTCTGTCAAACAACCCTTCTAGTTGCTGTTTGTGTGCAGTGGGCAGAGACAGAAAAATCAGAATTAATGTACAAGAAATTTGTGACTAAGCAATTCCATAGCCGTCATTCAGCAGTACTAACGATGTATTTCAGAGCTTTTATTCAGCAAGTCCTTGCATATCTTGAAATGTCATGCAGAAATGTGTGAAAGCATTAACCTGATGCTAATACAATGTTGCTTTTCTCATCCATGGTTATATCTAATCCAACATCTGTTTCAGTGTGGCGTTCCCCACCTGCTAGAGATGAGCCATGAATATCTGGTGCTTTTATTCCAGAGTGCGTTCAAAACACAAGTCAAACCCAATTTATTCAGTATTATTGTGGTGTTGATTTTGTGATACCAACAAACTCCACAGCAATTTACAATAAATGCAATGGCATGTGAGCAAATCCTTATTCGAAAATAGAGGAGAAAATTGCAAACTAAGACCATGGTCAGGATAGGTCTTGCTGACATAGGAAATATGTATCTAAAAATAAATGTAGACAGTCTGGGGTATGAGACCTCACCTGGAGCATTGTGTTCAGTTCTGGTGTCCTCAACATAAGGAGGACATGGAACTGTTGGAACAAGTCCAGAGGAGGCCATGAGGATGATCAGGGGCTGGAGCACCTCCTGTATGGAGACAGGCTGAGAAAGTTGGGGCTGTTCAGCCTGGAGAAGAGAAGCTGCGTGGAGACCTCAGAGCAGCTTCCGGTGTCTGAAGGGGGCTATAGGGATGCTGGGGAGGGACTCTTCATCAGGGACTGCAGTGATAGGACAAGGGGTAACGGGTTCAAACTTAAACAGGGGAAGTTTAGATTGGATATAAGGAGGAAATTCTTTCCTGTTAAGGTGGTGAGGCACTGGAATGGGTTGCCCAGGGAGGTTGTGAATGCTCCATCCCTGGCAGTGTTCAAGGCCAGGTTGGATGAAGCCTTGGGTGAGATGGTTTAGTGTGAGGTGTCCCTGCCCATGGCAGGGGGGTTGGAACTGGATGATCTTAAGGTCCTTTCCAACCCTAACTGTTCTGTGATTCTATGTTACCAAAGAGTGGATTAAGAGATATCTTAACGTCGCTATGGGAGCACCTTCCCAAGAGGGAGGTAACTCCTACTATAGTAATCCTGTGCCTAACAAGCAAAGGCCTACAAAGAAGCTGAAGTCAGAAGAGTTTTTCCCAGGGTGAAACTGTATATTGTGTTGCAAGAAGATAGCTAATCGATGACTGGAAGAGTTTATCATGGGAATTCCTTGGCTGTTACTTGAGATGGAGGTGCAGGCATTGGAAGTTTGAGGGTTTTAATTTAACCATGCATATTTGAAGTAAATGTAAGAATTCTGCAGTCTCCCTCATCTGAAGTGCCAGTGTTGGTATTTATGTCACACATGCAGCTAGGCATAGAATAACTTCTTGTTTCTGTTTTCTTTCTTCATTATGACTATGACATGAAAGAAATTAGTTTTGGTCTTGAGAAGTCTGGTAAAATGTATTGCACCACCATACAGGAGCAGTGAAGTCTTTTGGGTCATCTTTATTGAGTGTGAGTTAGTGCTAGGAGGTCTCAGAGGTTTAAAAAAATAAAGAACATCAGTTTGAAAACCCTAAGTCTTGAAAAGCCCTCTTCTCAGACGTTTTTTACTTCAACTTTCATTCCATTTTTGTTCCTATCTCACTTTTTCATTCATATTTGTTTAATACTCCTTCAAAGTTAATATGTTCATAGAATGGTTTGGGTTGGAAAGGACCTTAAGATCATCCAGTTCCAACCCCCTGCCACTGACAAGGGCACCTCACACTAAACCATGTCACCCAAGGCTCTGTCCAACCTGGCCTTGAGCACTGTCAGGGATGGAGCATTCACCACTTCTCTGGGCACCCTGTGGCAGAGCCTCAGCACCCTCATGGTAAAGAACTTCTTCCTTACATCCAAACTGAACTTCTGTTTAAGTCTGAACCCATTGCCACTTGTCCTGTCACTGCAGTCCCTGATGAAGAGTTCCCCTCCAGGATCCATGTAGCCCCCTTCAGACACTGGAAGCTGCTCTGAGGTCTCCAGGCAGCTTCTCTTCTCCAGGCTGAGCAGCCCCAACTTTCTGATATCGTAGGATGAGTAGTTCCTCATTTAATTGCTGCATTGCAAAATAATAACCACCAAGAGGAGCAGTGGTACTCTTGAACCAGGGAGAATCAGAAGAGATTCCCATGACAACAGGGAAATGATGGCTATGAAGGTTGGTTTCTTGAATTGAAGGCCAGTTTGACAGGCCATGGTTCTTCTGGTGATTTGGGTGAGTAAAAAAATAAGAAATATTCCTCTGAAAATAAGAACCAGGTTTTTCTGCTGTTTTAACCTGAACTTTATGGTTCTCTGAGAGCCATTTGCATACAGACATACCTGTTTGCCTTTTTTCCCTTCTGGAAGTACTTTCAAACAGGAAAGTTATTTTCCTGCTGAATATTTTCCTCCATTTTAAAGAGGTTTTTCTTCCCCCCCCAACATAACAAACTTGTTCAGTTCTGAATATTAACATCTACTAACATCATTGCTAAATGAAATTAAAGCCATTGAACTGGCTTCAGATAGAACTGTACCGAGATCAATACATCCACACTTCTTCAGGAAGGGCTTTGAGGAGCTCATGTTTAGGCAGCATTGAAGACACTGGCAAATCACCTGGAGAGCTGGCTGCTACCATTTTATGGTATAAACATGTTAAATATTGCAGGGCATGTTGTTTTAAAATAAGGTTTCCAACTCTGTAAAGTGATGTTTTTACTATTAGTAGAGAGCAACAGTGCCTGAATTTCATCACCTTTGACATTATTAATAAACCACAGTGTGTATCATAAAGAGCAAAATCACCTTTTTATCTTTCACTTTTGTACAGTTGCTAATACTTACATGCATTAGAAGTTATCAGAAGTCTCTGTGGACTTAATTACTGGGAAGGGAATTTTGCATATTAAGCTGAATAGTTTTTAATATGAAAATACTGCTTGAAACTCTTGTGCTACAGCATGAAAAGCTCTCTAGTCTCTCATTTTGCTCCTTAATGGAGGATCAAACACTGTTTACTTGTTCCAGGAACAAATGCAAGCAATGGCAGCAAAAATGTCCTTTACATAATTCTGATTATTGAAAAAAAAACCCACCAACATTATTTAATTCCTAATATTTAAAATCTATCCACTGAATCCATAATTGAGTGCTAGGAGGAATCTAGCTGTTGTTTATGGGAGCAGCTCTTCAGCTGGCATGAATAGGTGTAGTTTTATTGTCCAACTAAATTACCTCAGCTGTAAGTGGTTCCAGAAGTGGTGTTTAAAATACCAGAGTACCCAGAAAACTATCAACCATGCCCAGAAAATGCTACAGCTTTGAGCACATTTATTCTCTAATAGGAAAATTACCACAAAATCTTGGCCCTGCTGAATCCAGGAGTCAGACCTCTTGCGTGCTCACCAGTGTTAGATTGGCACTTTAGCATCCCATTTAAATAGCAGAGTTCAGCAGCAACAGGTTTCTTGCAGTGCTCTGAGAGCCCCTGAGTGGGTTTAGTGCATCCATGGGGCTTGGTGGTGGGGATGTCCCTGCTCCACCAGGAGCAGTCTGTGTGTCCAGCCCTTACGTGGCCACGGAGCAGAGCTTTGGTTGTGTCTGGCTGTGCTGCAGCTCTGTCTGAGGGAGAGCACTCCTCTCTGCAGGCGGCTTTGCCACTCGTGCTGTGTTGTACAGTCTTCATCTATCCAAATCAGTGATGCGAGGCACCTACAGCAAGGCTGCAGGAAAATACTGTGGCTAAAAATGATGATCATCTCTCTCCACCACAGCATCTTTTCAGTTGTTGTTTAGACTACATAAGCTGCCAGTTGTGATTTAACTGCAGTTTCAGTACTGGCCATCTTAGCACCAGTATAACTGACTCATTCAGAGGTGTTTTTTCCCACTTTCTGTGAGAATAGCTTTCATTTTCTTTAATTTTTTTTTTTTTTTCCCTTTTTGCCATTTTCCTGGTGTGCTGTTTTGTTAAAGTGAATCATTGCAGGAACTTCCCTGCACCTCTGTAATCCTTCCCTTGTCACAATTAGACGAACAGTAAGATTACCTTCCCTAGAGCAGTTTTAGCACTTTGCCACATGTCAGTCCTACTGATCCACATCGCTTTTCGTAATTACAGAGAAGGAAATGTTAGCACAGTTCAGCTTCCTACAGACCACTGATCCAGGTCCTTAACAGAGTACAGAACATCTGGAGAGACACAGAGGTGTTTCACACAGAGGTAACAGATCTTGGCTTTCAAGGGAGTATTTGTGTCAGCAGATTCTTTCTGAGCTCCCAATTAAGTTATTTTTCTTGTAAAGCCTGCCCACAGAACTTGAAGCTGAGTTAAAGGAGTTTCCATTTGCTAATGCAGAAGCACATACTAACTTCCAATAAGCAACTGTTTAGCAGTTAGGCCAGCAAAAAGTTAGGAGGTCAGTGGTGCTGAGCATTTGTAGCTGATGCTCGGGGATGTAAGAGGCTTTCCTTCCACTTTAGCACTGATTATATCTGCAGAAGGTGGGGACACCAATTGCAAATGATGGATTATCTATAAAATCAGCTTTCCTTTGGAGCAATTCCTCCTTCGTGGTGAGTAATACAAA